CAGACACACACACAGACACACACACACACACACACTCACACACACACAGAGCTCTCACTCACACCGCTCAGAAATTCACTCCAGACACTCTCCACCAGGGAAATTAATATTTCATTATTCTGTCATTTTAAGTGTCACATTTTCAAGAAGATGGAATCTGCTGGAGGACTGTAAATAATCCCTAATATGACTATAATGAATGAGACAATGAAGTATATTTCACATGAAGATTAAAACCAGATTCAAACTGTTCTGACTCATGCAGATCCAACCAATGATGCTTTTCAAACTCAACCTCGTGCCTGCAGAACGAACTGAACTCTACAGAAAGGAATCAAGTGACGTTTTCAAAAGAAAACTAAGTTCTCTATCCACCTGTGTGTATATTTTTTTTAATTTGATTTGACCTCAAATCCAACTTCATTAATCCTTCAAAAGTGCCACTAGTGGAAGCAAACAGAATGCAAAAATGTAGTCAAAGAGAAAGTCCCACCCCCAAACTCACGCCATTGGTTGAGTTCACATCGGGCCACTCAAACAGACAGATCAATGTTTCCAAAGCATCACAGTTTCACTCTTTAGTGCAAGTAAATCAAGATAACGATGCTTTCATACTCACAGAATCAGACTGCTGAGGTTTCCAGCGTTTGGGCCCAAATCCGGGATCGACTCGAACTCGTTGTTACTCAGTTTTCTGTGAATGTAAAACCACACGGTCACACATTCATCTGTGACATCTGAAAATAAAACAAAACCCAAAAAAAGCACACTCACATTTTGCTGAGCTGCGGCAGACTGGCGAGCAGCGCTTCAGGAAACGTGCGTAACTTGTTATGGCTCAGATCCCTGCAAAAGAAAAGCACAGCCATCAACGCAGTTTCTGAAGAGAATCTGTCACACGACAGGAGAAAATAAACTAGACACACACAAAAAATGCGATACAAACTCATGCTACGACACTCTTACCATATGACATGATCATTTCAACACGTCAGATCAACTCAGTTAGAAACCCAATCAGTCAAACCCAAATAAACAAAACACTAATTTTGCAACCATTAAAAAAAATAAATAAAACTCTTAAAAATAAAGGTTGCCATCCATCTACCTATCCAACTATCTATTCATCTCTATCTATCAAATATCCATCCAACTATCTATCTAACTAGCCATCTATCCATCCAACTAACCATTAGGGCTGGTCCGAATACCATTTTTTGAGCTTCGAAGCTTCGGTAGTGATCAACGCCGAATATTCGAAGCTTCGGAGGGAGAGGGCTAAACATATTCTTCTCTCAACACGTGTCTACACCGAACGCCGTGCCGCGACAAAATACAATAGAACCTATAGGATGCTGTCTACACTGGATGTGGCGCGGCACGACAAATTCCCGACAGTAAACTTCTGCTGCGTTCTATTTATGACGTGCTGACACAAATTTCAAATGATTTTCAATGGTCGCTTTGTCCAGTCCAGTGTAGAGACACTTTAGTTGTTGCGGCGTAACACAACTGTCGCGTCCGATGTATACACGACCTGTAATAAAGGCAGGAATCTCTGTGTGTCTGTTTCAAATAATTGAATATTCTGGTCCAGCCCTACTAACCATCTATCCATCCATCTATCCCCCAAATAGTCTTTCAGCGAACAGTTCTTAAAATAACCATTTTTATCTTTAATAATGGAAAGAATATTTTTGCACTATAAAGAAAGTTTTTATGGATGTTAAAAATATTGTGAATAATGCTGGCAAACAAACATTTGATGGTAGCCATTGACTTCCATAGTATTTTTTCCATACTATGGAAATCAATGGCTACCGTCAACTGTTTGGTTACCAACATTCTGCAAAATATCTTTTTTTGTGTTCAGCAGAAACTCATACAGGTTTGGAACAACTTGAGGATGAGCAAATGATGACAAAATGTTCATTCTGGATGAACGAGCCCCTTTCATGGATGCCAGTAAAGATAAAGAACCTTTATTTTTAAATGTCTGCTTTTTGATTTTACTTTTTGATACTTATAACAGCAAAGCCTTTTGTGAATGTGTATCTTTAACTACACACCATCATAAACATCCACTCAGGATTGAGTAAAACTTCTGCTGGACTGATTCAAACCACTGAGACGACTCTTAAGAATCGTTTGTTTGAGAGTCTACAGACTCTCAGAGATCAGGTCAAGTGTAATTTGGAGCGTTTCAGGCCGTGTTGATGTTTCGGGAATCAGTCAGCTGAAGGTTTTTGGAGCATCGCGTGAAGCTGCCAGACACCTCGGCGGCTCTCGACCCACATCTGGACTCCATCAGCTCAAACAGCGAACGGCCGCGGGGAAAGTAACGACTGCTAATCTATTCGCAATGCAGGGAAAGTGAGCGCCGCCTTTGATTTCCAACAGCAAATCATGTCCGTTTGTTGAGTTTCTGGCTCTGGACGACCATTTTACTGGAATCTCTCAGCATACTCTCTGTCCACTGCATACAACAACATCACCAGCCTTTGTTTCTGGTGCATTTTTGTGCTTTTTATCATTAATTTAAGCATAAAACTGTTCTTTTATTCCACTGAAGCTAAACACAGTTTAATTATTACACTGAAGATGTAAATATGAAGCTGAATGGAACAGGATTTCTGTGTAAAATCAGATTAATTAACTACTTTTCTGACTGATTTACACAGAAATAAATCAATTTGGTGATTCATGAATCAGGCTCGTCATGATTTCACGCACAGACTCTTCATATTCAACAGGAAGTGCTTTACAGAGATAAACCTGACGTTCCCTCGCACACAAACACATTGAGATATCACATTCTCTCTGTTATGATAAGATAGACGCTTCAGACTCGTGTTCAGCTTATTAACACTCCAGTTTATCACGTTTTCAGTGCCGCTCAACTATCTGCTGTACCCAGACACACACATTCTCAGTGTGAGTGTGTGCTTAATATTTGTGCTAGTTTGATGACTGGCTTCAATACTACAACTGCAACTATTTAAATTCCTCACACAGGTTTTCATTTGTAAGATTTGGTCAGTTTTCCATGGCAATACTTACTACCATGCTATCAGCAAGATGCATTTCCAGACAGGCAGACTGACAGTTTCCAACAAAAACTATTTCCAAAAAATAAATACTTTACAAAAAACATGTCTAAAAATAAATACAAATAAATAAAATAACTTCTGACAAGATACGTCCAAAAATAAAAATAATTACCAATAAAAAAAACAAGTCCAAAATATAAATAAATAAATTCCAAAAAAAAGTGTCCAAACGTAAAAATAACTACTTTTAAAAAAAGTTAAAAATAAATAAATAAAAATAAGTCATTTGTAAAAAAAAAAATATTTTTTTTTTAATAATAATAAATCAAAAAATAAAAATAAATACATAATTTCCAAAAATATGTGCCAAATATAAAATACACAAATTCAAAAAAATAAAATAAATCAAACAAAAATGAATGATTTCCAGCAAAAAGCATGTCTAAAAAAGAATAACTATCTATTTATTTTAATAAATGAATATAAAAACTGACAAAAATTAGTAAATAAAATATTTAAAAAAACACATGGTACCTTTTGGTAATGCTGGCATTAAATCTATTTTTTAACATGTTTTTCCACTTATATTAATATTGACTGATCAATTTTCCAGTGTGAATTTCACAGAGTAAAAGGTGTGCATGGGTTCAGAGTTTAACTATGAAACTGGTGTAAAACAGCAGCTGCCGTCTCAAACTCTCCACGCCACTGAAAAAACCCTCGGCTCTTTCCAGATGTAAATCATGAACAGCTTTTTCCTTCTATTTTTCCATTCTGGCATCGAGAGCCCTCCACAGCCAAAAACTTCAGGCCTCCATTTCTCCCTCCCTCCCTCTCTCTCTCTTTCTACACATCGGCTCCTAATGGCTTCCATCTCTGGTTGGGTTTAGCTGCTAATTCAGCAGAAATAATGGGCCTGGGGAAAACAAAAGCTCAGGCAGTTTAATGCATGAACATGTGCTGCAGAGCTGCTCATAAATTAGCATCACCTCCTGAACCCCTGGAAGCCCCGAGGACTCTCGTTCTCCTTCAAACCAACATCTAGAAGGAGCCGGAGTCCCTTACAAGACCATCGCTTCATCCCACTCTTTGTGAACGCAATGCAACCGACCTGAACGAGAACTTGCATGAAGAGAGAGTGTTTTACAGTGTGTTTGTTCTTCATGAATAAAATACTAAAAAGTCCAAATAAAGACCTGTGAGCCTCTACCGACAGAACAACAAAACGCCAATGCATGTGCTAAAAGCTTCTGAAGCTGGATTCAGTTCTTGCAGCTAAAAATGTGCCTGCAATGACAAAAAATTGGTTGTATTTTTACGCAAAAATTGCTAGAAAATTTCACAAACAATTACAAAGAAACAGCAAGTAACATTAATTTAACGTGAAATTTTGAAGTAGAAAAAATCCAATAATCTTGGGGGAAAAATATATATATATATATTTTATTACAGTGTTTTGACATAAATAACTAACATTTATTTATTTATTTAGGCAAATTATAAAATTGTATTTTATAAATTTTTGGATCTTTTTGTTGGAAACTATTTATTTTTTAACATGTTTGTGTGAGTGTGTGTGTGTGTGCTCATTATTTGTTGCTCAAAATATGATTTAATTTCTCTTTCTATAAAGATCTTGTCTTTTTTCAACACAGATCATACTAATTAATATACTTGGAATTTAAAAGTAATGCCAAGTAACACATTCATTAAACGTGAAATAATCTTCATTTACAACTTAAAAAAAGTTGTATTTAAATAAATAAATGTCAAAATGTTATGTCAAAATAAATGACTGCCACTGGTTTTATTTTTAGTCAATAAATCAACTTGTTCACATGTTGATCATAATACGAATTTGTCTGATCTTCAACACAGAAAATATTCCAATATGGAATATATTTGGAATTTAAATGATTGTGGTTTTGTTTAGATTTAGGGCCTTTAAACTGAACACACACACACACACACACACACACCCACACACCCACACACTCACACTCACACTCACACACACACACACACACACTCACACTCACACACACACACA